TCATGGTTTTCCCATACATTTTTTTCTATAGACCTGTAAGTGCCATCATGTGCCAAACCTGGAGGAGAGTAGTCTGGGGGTACCAATGAGTAGATGATATTACTCTTGCTTTCTAGGAGGATTCTCTCTGCTGGTGTGAAGAACTAAGGTTAAACCAGGCATCCCAAATGGCGAACACAAAGTGGACTGGACATTTGCTGGAAATCCCCCGGGTGCAGCTTTCGTCCCACTTCCTAACACAGAACTCTTCAGACTTTGTAAACGTGAAAATGTACATTTATTCAGCAAACATTTACTGGGTAGTCTAACAAAACTGAACATATACTGAATGCCATATTTCATGCCTTATTGTTTAGGTTCTCCTGGGCATTAGCATGACAGCCTTGGTCTTTATTTATTTATTTATTTTGCTTGAGACAGAGTCTTACTAGGTAGGGTGCCATGGCTTCACAGATCACAAACTCTTGGACTTAAGTGATTCTCTTGTCTCAGCCTCCCATGTAGCTGGGACTACAGGTACCCACCACAACGCCCAGCTATTTTTTGTTGTAGTTGTCATTGTTGTTCTAGCAGGCCCAGGCTGGGTTGGAACCCGCCAGCCCTCCCCACCCCCATGTATGTGGCCGGTGCCCTAACCATTGAGCTACGGGCGCTGAGCCAGCCGTAGTCTTTAGTCTGCATCCCCTTCAGGTATCTGAATTCCCAGATGCTGACTCCTTAGTACAGTACCTTTTTCTATTTGGTTTGTTTGTTTGTGACAAGTCTCAGTCACTCTGGGTACGGTGCCGTGGCGTTATCATTGCTCATAGGAACCTCAAACTCTTGGGCTCAAATGATCCTCTTGCCTCAGCCTCCCTAGTAGCTGGTACTACAGGTGCCCACCAGCCACAATGCCTGGCTAGGTTTTTCTATTTTTACTAGAGATGGGGTCTCAACTCTTGCTCAGGCTGGTCCTGAAATCAGCTCAAGCAATCCACTCACCTGGGCCTCTTAGAGTGCTAGGATTATAGGCATGAGCCACTGTGCCTGGCCTACCCTTTTCTATTTGAATCTCACTGAATCAGTGATTGGCAAGTAGTGAGCTCATTGACTGTGAAATCTAGTCTCCCGCTTGTCCAATCAGCAGAAGCCAATCTGTCTGTCTGCTCAGGTATATTTTGTCTCTCTCTGTTTGCTTACCCCCCCCCCCCCCCCAACACTGTAACAAGATAGCAGCGGCTCCCCCCTCCCAGCCCCACCGCCACACCCAACCCCACCCCAGGTCCTAAACCCCCCCCCTTCCACCCAGAGGGGCTGAACCAGGACTGATCTGGCTGCTGCTAGTGTCCACCCCCCCCCCCGCCCCAACACTGTACAACTCAGAATAGAGGAGTTATCCTTTGCAGACAGTTGGAATGATACACAGAGATAAATTCCCTCTATTAGGGCAAGTCCAGCAAGGGAAGGACACCCAAGTCTTCTAGGCCCATGGTCTTTCTTACATAGATGAGCCTTTTGGAAGGATGGGAGTCAGGGACCAGGGACTCCCCCAACAAGACCCCCACCTTAACCATAAATCAGTTTCTAATCTAAGCCCTTCCTGGGGGTTGAGTTACAAACCTTAGTAACCCCAGGGCAGCCTGCCTGGTAATTCCTATTATTCAGCTGTCAGCTGGTTTTTTAAAAACCTCCCTTCCCCCCCGATCCAGTTACTGGAGTTTTAGAGCCCATTCCTTGTCTCAGAGAGAAATCCTATAGCCAGGTGAACAATGGAGAGGGCTCATGCCCTCTTTCTACAGGGAGCTGGGTTTTCTCTCCAGTTGAGAGCAGCCTCCCCTTAACTCTTTGTATCCCTCTCAGATTGTCAGGGAAGGTCCACCTCCCTGTCAGCCTCCATGCTAATGCCCTTCAGAGAAACATTCCCTGCGTTCTCTCCTTCCAGAGCCAGCATTAGTCAGCAAAGGAGAACAAATTGGGAAGAGAGGCAGGAAGAGAAAGAGAGAGAGCTTGCTGGGGCTGCAGTGTGACTTTGCTGTGAGCCCAGACAAAAGCCCAGGGCTCATCTGTTCCCAGAGTTCTACTATTGGTCAGGGGGCTCAGAGCCCAAACCTGCAGCCCAGCAGGTCCTGACTCTTGCCGCAGAGTCCATGCTGTGCTGGGATAGGAGAAAGGACATAGAGGGAGGGGCCTGCTTTGACAGTGATGAGAGGTGAGGGTGAGGCTCCTGACCTCCCTGACCCCTTTATCCCTGACGTCCTTCTCTGGTCCCTCCAGCTCAGAAGGCCGGGCCCCTTGCTGCTTGACCTTAGAGGCTGAGAGCACAGGGGGCCAAACCACAGGTGTCCTTCAGAACCAGCCTGAGGGAGCAGGCTGAGAAAGCCTGAGAGATAGGGCTTAAAGGAATTATCACTAGTGGGTGTGACCATCCCCCATCTTACAAACTGCCTAGATCCACTAAGATACACCCTGCTGTTTCCCAGCCCCATTTCCCTACAATAGGGATTTAAAAAACCTTTTATAGAGCTATAGACCCCTCCAAGACACTGTTGCTAAGGAACCGCCCTACTCACAACATTTGTGTGTACCCACAAACACAATTTAGTCAGCTTCAGAGGTCAACAGACGTTAAAGCTCAGGACCCTGAAGAACTGGTGATCCTAGGTAAAATCCCTACTCTCCCAGATTCCTTGCCTTGTGATCTCAAATTAACCATGCGCGGCTATGATAAAACAGCTTTAGCATCCCGAATGGGTCAGAGAATTAGGATGGCCCCTACCCCTCAGGGCCTTGCTGTACTAGAGGGCAGATTCAGAGCTGCTTTGTCCTTTAGATCTAGTCTTTGCCCTAAGGACTGCTCATAGCACCACTGGCCACTCTGAGACACTGGCCCAGAAAGAAAGCCAATAATAAAAAAGGGATGGAAGCAAGGCGAGGAAGGAGGTCTATGCATGGGAACCCTGGAGGGCTCCCTGTGCCCTTCACAGAGGTTGGGCTTAGTCCCCTCATCTTCCCACATGTGGCACGAGTGCAAGGTCACCCTGACCAGCTCTGACACTCCTTCTTGGGCATGCCTCCCAGTAAAATAATATACCTCCTTTTGGCTCCAGCAACTCTTGCTGGACATCTGTCAACTCCTGGGGGAAGTAGGCTGCTGGCCAACCTTGATTCTCTGCTCTTTCCCTTTTTCCTCTTCTTGGTCCTGTGGGGACAGTATTTCCCTACTCTAGTAATTGTGGCCTTGACATGCCCAATTCACCCTTTTCCAGGCACATGCTGAGGGAGCTAGGAAAAGAATGGTAGGAAAAAGGTACAAGGAGACTTCAGGCTCCACTGAGTTGAGGGACCCAGCTCCACTTAATTTTTTCTGAGTTTACAACCCAGGAGAGCAGTTTGGTGGGTGCCTGCACCTGCTAAACCCCACAGCCTCTGGTGGCTCAGGCCTCCATCTTCACTTGCTTAGGCTGTTAAAGGGACTGGCGTCCTCTCAGACTTCTGAATTCATTTATCTTTCTTTTCTTTTTTTTTTTTTTGAGACAGAGCCTCAAGCTGTCCCCCTGGGTAGAGTGCCAGTGGCATTACAGCTCACAGCAACCTCCAACTCCTGGGCTCAAGCGAGTCTCCTGCTTCCGCCTCCCAAGTAGCTGGGACCACAGGCGCCCGTCACAACGCCCGGCTATTTTTTGGTTGCAGCCCTCATTGTTTGGCGGGTCTGGGCTGGGGATTCGAACCCGCCACCTTAGGTGTACGTGGCTGGCGCCTTAGCCGGTTGAGCTACAGGCGCCGAGCCTCATTTATCTTTCTTAACGTTCAGGCTTGGTCAAGCCACTCATCTTCAATAAAATCTTTGCTGCCTCCTCTTTATAAAATAGATTCCTCAGGCCAGCATTCCAGGGACACTTTGTAAACTGACCTGAACCTCCCTGCTCATGCTCTCTCTTTGCACCCAGTGATCCAGTCATCAACCTGACCCTCCTCCCTGGGCAAGCAGTACTTTATTCTGCTGCCCTAGGCCTGGGCTATTCCAATTTTCCTTACTGAAAAAACTTCCCATTCATCTCAAAAGCCATCTCCCTGAAGTCTTTCCCAATCTTTACATGTTGAATTTTTCTGCATCCCTCAGCATTTATTGTCCCTGACACTGCATAATTTCCAGGCCTACCTCTCCTAGGAGATTTTAAGCTCCGTGAGGGCAGGCACCAGGTATCTTTGGCACTTACCCCAGTACCTCCCGCAAAGTAAGTGCCCAATAAATGTCTCTAAGGTAGCCTGTAGACTCCCTTGGGCGATGTGCAGGATGAGTTGTTCTCCTGGCAGCACCAGCACCGTTTCTAGATGCTGCCATAAACGGGAGGTGTGTCAACTGCCCAAGCAGCCCTTTGCATTCTTAAGTTTTCCTCTCCTCAGCCAGAAGCTTATTTTGTCAATGTCCACATCCAGTCAAGAAGCGGACGTGAGGGCCCCTTTGGATGTATTTGACTCCACTGTCACTCAATAACAAACAGTGCCAGCAAACGTGTCCTCACGCTTTCTACAGTTTTGGGGTTGGAGTTTTCTTCTCACCCGCCCGACAGGCAGGAGGAGTTTGCCACCAGTCTGGGATCCCCGGGACCCGCACCTTGCACCACTGGACGCTCTGGCGATATCTAAAAGCTTTCCGCCTACTCTTCCCCTTCCTTTCCGAACATGCAGCAATTACTCAGCCCATTCCCGACGAAAAGAAGACAAAAGTCACTCTGGCGCCCCCTCTCCCTCACCTAATTGAGAGGACTCAGACTCAGGGACTCTCTGGAGCTTCCAGAGCCTGCGTTAGGAACAAAATCCGCTTGGGCAACGGCACTCCAATAGCGTTTCTGGCGGGGGTCGGAATTTTGCTCGGCCCCTTGCAATGTTTCCAAGGGAAGGTTCGCACATTCGTGACCGTCCCTGGCAGCCGCCCAGCCCGGGACTTGGGGCTCCATTCGCCATTGGCCAGTCATTGGCGTGACGCGCCTGGAGGCGGGGCCTCATCAGCTGTTTGCGGGATGCCCCGAGCGGGCGTATTTTGGAAACAATACCACCCCGTGCGGAGTGGCCTCCTCCCGCGCCCGCCCGCGCCCGCTGCTGCCGCCGCCCCTATCCGCGCCGCCCGCCTCCCGCCACAGCCCGGTGAGCGCCCGGGAGGCGGCAAGGGGCCGGGCGGAGTTGGATCGCACTTACTCGGAGAAGTGGGGAGTGGAGTCGCTCTGCGCGTGGGGGCCCGGGAAGGGTTCGGGCTGCAGACGTCTGGGGTGACCATGAAGAACTGGGGTGCTGGGGCGAGGGAACGGGGTGCAGAGCCCACACCTGGGTGCGCTGCTCCAAAGGGAACTTGAATGTAGCATTTGGGACTCGAAAGGAGTTGGGTCCAGGTGGGCAGGGGAACCTGGGGTGCACTACTGAGCTGACCTGGGCGCCCCGGAGCCGGCTGGCCTCTGGGTCTGACTTTGGGGTAGATCAGGGAGTTGTGGGCATCCCGTCTCCCTGCGAATTCTGAAGGCTCCTCTCCTTAACAGCTGGGTTTTTTCCCTCCATCCCAATCGAGTCTGGGCGCCAAGCCTCAGAGTGCTCATCACGCTGGACCCTGGCGCGGAGCCCTGGCATCACGACTCGGAGGCTGAGACTCTCTCCTGGAGTCACCCAGGTCTGGGGTGTGTGTGTGTGTGTTCGTGTTCCTAGGTTTTAGCCACTGTTGAGGCTCGGGTGTCTGGCTACTGCCTTCTCCTGAAAGGAAGAGTCTAAATTCAGCATCCCTCTTCCAGCCCTTAAGGGCTGGGATGGCTCCAGAAAGTTTTAGTTCCCCTTGCTAGGAATAAAGCATTCCCTGGCAGTGTTCTCAAGAAGTGCTTCCCTCCTACCAGTGTGGACATCACTGCTTCAGCTCTGGAGAAGATGGCGAGAGGATCTCTTCACCCTTTCCCAACTGACACTTGACCTTGCCCTGCACCCCTCCAGAGGCTCCCACCAACTGGAGAGCCACCTGTAGTTCCTGTGGAGAGTGGGAGGGATCCCTGGGGCTTGCAGAACCACACCCTCTCGCTGCACCTCCCCCACTGTCCAGTCCAGGCAAGGGTTGAACTTTGGGGCTTTGCTGGGAGGGGGAGGGGGAGGTGATAGGCTTCAAAGGAAAAACCAAGACAATGACTCCTGCTTGTGATTGGCTTTGGAGGGCCACTTCTTAGGTTGGGATTGCCAGCCTGCAGAGAGAAGGTTGGAAGGCAGGAGGGGAGCCCCTGCCAGGTGACTGGCAGGATAGCACTTGGTCTTTTCATCAAGAAACTTTGTTTTCCTCTTGCTGATAAGCTGGAGTATCCCCCACCCCCCGCCCCTTTGGAAACACTATCCAAAAAACACCATGTGTCTGCTTTAACATCCTAGCAGGCAACTCTTCACTCTCCAGGGAAGAGGGCAGAGAGACCATAGATAGCTTGGGGACTGGATGGGTTGGTGGGAAGATAAAAGCAGACACCTTAGAGTTTGCATTTGGGAAGGGCAGGATTTCTGAATTTCCCTGAGATTCCTTTAAGTATTTCACCAACCTGCAGACCATTTGGCTTATTCTTTGAAGGCAGACTATGGGACAGAACTCCTGGAGCTCTCTAATTGAGTCTGACAAAGATGAACGTTGTCTCTCTGTATCCTTAACCATTCAAGTGGTTGCTGCTTCCTGCTGCCCCTAGAGCCCTAAGGGGTGCCTGGCCTCTGTGTGTGTGTGTGTGTGTGTGTGTGTGTGTGTGTGTAGGAGGCTGGAAGCTCAAGATGCTCAGACTTCCATGAGCCATCAGGTGGAGCAAGAGGAACTTCTTTGTCACCAAGAAACTCATATCAACAACCTGAATAGTATAGGCGGTGAGTGAGGTCACACAGAGAAGACTGACTTTTACTTCCTTCTGTGAGACAGGTTCCTCCAATCTCGGGTTCAGGGCTGGCAGGAATGGTAGACTGTGGGGATGAAGATTTGGAGTTTTAGTGACTAGTGAGTAGACTGAGCCAGGGAGGCTGTATCTACCCACTTGCAGTTGGCAGACAGCTCTGTTCTGCTGGAGAAAAGCTGAGAGGGCAGCTGCAATGGCTAACTTGGGTCTTTATCCCCTCTCCAGGACACACTCTTACCACACTGCAGAGCCTGTTTGTTGTGTTGTGCAAGCAGGGGGTGGAGACTAGACTAAATGGGCAGTAGGGCGGGGCTTAGCAGGTTTGGAGGGAACCTGGCTGCCCTAGGATTGCTGGCTTTTGTTTTTGTTACTGAGTCTGGAGCTCTGCTCAGACTGAGATGAGAGCTTGGAGGTTACGCCTTAGGGTGGTGATTGGGTGTGTGTGTTGTGAGTACTGTGTGTACAGCCAGCCACAGCCCCCTCTGCCCTCCCAAAGCCACTTACAGAGGCTAGTCTTGGTTATACTTTCCCAGGTACCCTGCATGCTTAAGGCAGCTGCTCCTACCCCTGCTGTTGCTCACAAGCCTCAGAGTCAAAAACTTCATGACTAGCCTAGGTCAGAAGGGGGAGGAGGGTTAAAGGGGAATTCGGAGTTCCTGAATGTTGAGGCAGTCCATAGTTGGGGAGTGGGTGTAAAATTCAGCACACCCTTGGGAGTCCTTTATTACCAGGGTGGTATGCCATCAATATGGGTCCTGCTCCTTTAAATTAAAAGGTGAGAAAGAAGGGGAGGGAAGTCCTTCCAGGTATGGTCTGGTTGGGGGGGCAGTATCCCAGATGCCTGCACTTCTCCCTCACAGGGGAGATGGAGCCATCGCAGTGTGTGGAGGAACTGGAGGATGACGTGTTCCAACCAGAGGATGGGGAGCTGGGGACTGGGAATGTGCTCTCTGCTGACCTGTTTGCCCAGAGCCAGCTGGACTGTCCCCTTAGCCGGCTTCAGCTCTTCCCTCTCACCCACTGCTGTGGCCCTGGGCTCCGACCAACCAGCCAGGAAGACAAAGCCACTCAGACCCTCAGCCCAGCCTCCCCAAGCCAGGGTGTCATGCTGCCTTGTGGGGTGACTGAAGAACCCCAGAGACTCTTTTATGGTGAGTGCTTTTAGCCTCAAGACTCCTCTCACAGAGATTGGGGGAAAGGAGGGGACTTTCCCTTCCTAAACCTGCCCTTTGCTATTTCCTCCCCCAAACTGAGCAGCAAACCAACTGAGCAGCAGTTGGTTCCACCACTTTCAACCTCCTGCCTCTCTGCTTGTTACTGCTCCTTACCTGTGCTCCTCAGACCCTCCAAGGGGCAAATGGCCTTGCTCTTCTTTTTGACCTTTTATCTCTCTCTAGAGGGATCCTTGGGCTCATGGTATCTCCTTTTATATCCTGTGTTGCTTGAGTGGTCCAGCCTTTTATATCCTTGCTGTGATTTGTCTTCCATAAAGAGGCTTATGTTGCCCTAGAGAAGAACAAGGGAGCTATGACTGGCTATTGACACAGAAGGGAAAAACCTAGCTTGTTCTGGGAGGGAAGGTTCCTCAGGCAGAAGGTGGCCCCACTTGTCACTTGGGACTTTCTGTACTTGGAAAGGGAACTGGAGAAAGAGGTTGGGCCTGCCTGGGCTCAGAGCCAGTAAAGGGGATGTTTCCAAGGGTAAATCAGACAAGACCCCTTCGTTTGTGGACTTAAGTGGTTTGTTTTATGAGAAATGTGCCTTCCTCTGGCAAAAGGGCAGGGTTAGGGCTCGACGCCTATAGCTCAACCGGCCAAGGCGCCAGCCACGTACACCTAAGGTGGCGGGTTCAAATCCCCAGCCCGGACCCGCCAAACAACAATGACGGCTGCAACCAAAAAATAGCCGGGCGTTGTGGCGGGCGCCTGTGGTCCCAGCTACTTGGGAGGCGGAGGCAGGAGACTCGCTTGAGCCCAGGAGCTGGAGGTTGCTGTGAGCTGTAATGCCACGGCACTCTGCCCAGGGGGACAGCTTGAGGCTCTGTCTCAAAAAAAAAAAAAAAAAGGGCAGGGTTAGACAGCCTATTTTCTTCTTTTAGTACAATAGCTTCTGGAGGGAGGCTGAAGATTCAGAGGCTATCTTGCGGTATCTGATAGAGCGGATTGAGGAGATGCTGCAGTTATTCCCAGAGGGAACTGCCCCTTGGGGCGATTCTGCAAAGCAATTCTGGCTGGAGGAGATGGATGAGGCCACAGGCGGGTCTGCTGGCGCCCCTAGCGGTGGCTGTAAGGCCAGCACACGGGAAGTGCGGAGCTCTTGTCTAGAAGTCTGACCTGGGCTGTCTCCAGAGAGGAACTTGGCAGTTCTGTGGGTCTTAAGAGTTTTCTCTCCTTTGTTTTTGTGCTGCTGCCCAGAGCTTCAGGAGCTGAGACCAGCCTTCCTCTAGTGCATTAAAAAAGTGCAGATACTTTTTGGTTTTCTTTTTCTCTGCTTCTTGCATTGCTCAACCCAGAAACTCTGGAGAGCTGCCTCCAGTGCTTTTCCAGAGAAGGACTTCAACCTGCTACTATATGAATAATCAACTGTGGTCAAGTGTAGCTTGATACATAAGGACAGAAGGGTGGCATATTTACCTGCAACACATCACTCCCTGCCCTTTGCCATGACGTTGACAGTGAGTAGAGAACAGGGAGAAGGGAAGGCTGGGACCATTTCTTTCTGTCTTCCCAGTATCAACTTTCTACACTTGGGCAGCAGGCAAGGCAGGCTGTCCAACTTGGCAGAGAGTCCTGAAAAAAACAGGGCTGGGCTCAGCGCCTGTGGCTCAAGCGGCTAAGGCGCCAGCCAGATACACCTAAGGTGGCGGGTTCGAATCCATTCTGGGCCCACCAAACAACAATGATGGCTGCAACCAAAAAATAGCCGGGCGTTGTGGCGGGCGCCTGTAGTCCCAGCTACTTGGGAGGCTGAGGCAGGAGACTCACTTGAGCCCAGGAGTTGGAGGTTGCTATGAGCGTGATGCCATGGCACTCTACCCAGGGGGATAGCTTGAGGCTCCTGTCTCAAAAAAAAAAAAAAAAAAGAAAAGAAAAGAAAAGAAAAAAACAGGGCTGGTTCCTTTCCCTTCCCATACTTAGATTTACCCTTGGACCCCAAGTCTTGGCCAGGTGGGGCAGGCATGGTTATGGAGAATGCTGAGATGTGGGTCCTCTGTCTTTGCAGGTAATGTTGGCTACCGGCTTCCTCTCCCTGCCAGTTTCCCTGCAGGCTTGCCCATTGGGGAGCAGCCCCCTGAAGGGCAATGGCAACATCGAGCAGAGGTACAGATTGCCCGAAAGCTTCAGTGCATTGCAGACCAGTTTCACCGGCTTCATGTGCAGCAAGTAGGCATGGGGGCTTATGGGAGGAGTGGTTGCGTCTGCTGGGGCTGGGGGACCAGGGCCTGTTTCTCTCCTTTCTCTCCTCTCTCTCCTCTTTTCAGCAACTGTATCTCTGCTAGTCCTCAAGGATATGGGCCCAGAATTTTGGCCTTGGCTATTGCAGTGCCCATGAACTGGATGGACCTAACTGGATGAGCATCTTGCCCTCATCTGTCCACTCTCAGCTCACACTCCACAAGAGTGGTATCAGGAGATGCTACAGGTGCTCCCTGCAAATGGGATGATTTTCTGCACTCTTGCTTGACAATCTGCCTCTTCTTGAGGTCGGGGGATTGCCCCTCACAGACCCAAGAGGAAGATTTTCAGGTGTTGCAGTTGACGCTGGACAGTTGGGGGGGTGGTGTGCCTGCCTGAGGTACAGTGAGAACCCAGTAACCAGGCCAAGGGATGGGGCCTGAGTGGGAGAAAGTGGTAGAACCGGTTGAAACCTGACACTTCCCAGCTGGGGAGGCCACTCCTAACTGTCTGTCTGGGAACCAGGGCCTGGGACTATGGAGGGTGTACCTCAGAGAGACTCTTCAGACTGTCGGCCAGCCGGGTGCTTGGCCGGGTGCTTGGCCGGGTGCTTGGCCGGCAGCCTGGCACCAGCCCCGCCGGGGCGGAGCATTGCATGTCAGTTGAGCATGTGGCAGGGTCCATCAACAAAGGAGGCGGCTGGCAGACTCGTGCTGGAGGAGCCCTCTGTGGCACTGACTGGAGGCTGTCGTGCTCCAGCAGCCTCTGTCTGGGTTGGGCCCCTGGGCATTTAACCCTTCCTCTCTAGGCTGGCTTTCTGGATGGCTGCCAAGATAGGGAGAGGAGCCTGAGGCTGGATCTGTGCTAGTACAACCACAGCTGAAGCCAAAGGCGTGCCACCTGGAAGGGAACATGTTCCCTACCTCTGGAACTGTGTCCCTGGCCCAGCTTGTGTGTGTGCAAACGTGTGTATGTGTCTGTCTGCCTGTCAGTCAGCAAATCAGAATAAATAACTCAGCCATGATTGGGCAGTCCCTGAGGTTAGATGGGTGACTTCAGGTGACTGGAAGAGAGTTATTGGTTCTATTAGGTTTGGCTTAAGGGCCAAACCATTGCCAGTGCCAGGGGAAGAGGAATTGACCTTGGGTTTCCTGAGAACAGGCTATCAGGTTAGATATGATTAGTACTGCCTGCCAAGGGGTTCTCAGGGAAACTTGGGGCTGGACTTGGACTTGACTTTTCTAGCCTCTTAATGGTCAGAAGGGGAGGGTACCCCTATGCTTAGATAATAGGCCCAAGGCTCAGTCCCTGTTCCCTCCTTTGATTGTTTGGTGGAAACCTGGCACAGTGTTTCCCCTTCAGTCCATGTGTGGACTCACTCAGATTCATGTTTTCAGTCTCTTGGCCTCCTTCCTGCCCATTCACCCTGCTGTGCTTGTACAGGCCTAAGGCCGAGCCCAGCCCACAGTTTCCAGTCCTGGTGCTGGAGAGGATAGGCTATCCTATCCAGAGTGGCTGTGGATCTCCTGGACTAACCTAGAAGACTCTGGATAGTAGTTTGCTTCATTTACAATAATCTGATCTCTTTCACCAGGCTTAGGAACAGGCTGGGAGGCCCAGCTGTGTCCTGGGACTATGACACAATTCTGGGGCCCATCTCCTGACTTAGTCCTGAACAAGAGATCTTTATCCCAAGGCCTGGCCCTGCTTTTTGCTGGTTACATCATTTCTCCCAGTTCATGGCTACCTCTTTGAGGGCACAGGTCAGTTCCTGACAGGGTACTGTCCTTTCAGCAAGAGCCACCCCACCTGGGGAGAGGGAAAACTGGAAGAGAGTTTCCTGAGAGTTGTTGCTGCCCTGCACCTCCCTCCACACTGGCATCCACGTTCCTTGCGTCCCTACTCTCCTACCAGCTACCTATTTCTGCTACCTACCTTGCAATGGCAGGAGGCTGGCCAGTAAGGCCTTTCTTGTCAAAAAGCTACTTTCCCCCAAGTTTCTAATACAAAGAGCCCTCCTTTTGTCTTTTCCTTGGAGAATCCTCCCCAGAATCCTCTTGTTCTTAATCCCCTCCTCACTGACCCTGCTCACAGACCTTCACTAGGAACTCTTCCTGTGGGAAGGTCTAGGCTGATAGCTTCAGACAGGTGGAGCACCAGCCCTCCGGGACCTTTTAGCAGCTGGTTTTAAGAAATGAGTCATTTTCTGAACTTGATTCTTATATAAACTATGGTCTAATGTTTCATATCTAGAAAATACTGTTTTCTTACTCCTTTATTTTCTTAGTTTTATCCTTTATTTTCTTTCTCTATTCCCTTCCCTCATTTTTGTAGGCAGAGAAACTGAGGTACAGGGAAGGAAGTTGTTTAGGATTAAGACTCCAGGATTCAGGTACAGGTTTGAATGCCAGCTCTGCCACCTGCTAACCACTGGAAAGTCACTGGACCTTGCTCAGCCTGTTTCCTCTTCTGCAAATTAGAGCTAATACCGCAGAATTTTATTGTGACGGATAAGCGAGAAAATGCCTATGAACATTCAGGACACGTAGTAGATGTTCTTCAATGCTCGTTTCCTTCTGTGAGTTTATAATCCTGATCATAACGCACATTTGCTCTTGTTCATGGTTCTTTTTCCACTCCACCTGTCAGGCTAATGCCAGACAGAGCTGCCTCCCCCAACTTCCATCCACCTGCCCTGTCCAGATAAATCAGCATCCAGGCTGTGTTCTGTCATACACCTTGGCCTTATCCATATCTCCTCAGAGAGTGAGAGTCAATCTCCATCATTATGGGTTGAATTTAGAGAGCTGAGAGAGGCAACTGGGAAGGCGCTTGAGTAAGCCCGACCACCTCCTTTCCCCCAGATCTGGGACAGTATTCTGGGGCCAGACTGTAACCATTGATCCATAGTCCTTTAGGGAGTGTGAGCACCCTTATTTTGGCCCTGATTACTGACCTCAGCTGTTCTTTTCTCTGTACTAAAGGAACCTTTTCCCTTGGAAGTGTGGAGCAGAGGGAGGGGGTATGATGATGGGATAGGATGGCATTGTGGCAAACTGAGCATGTCAACATGACCCAAGATGCAGCAGCTTCCAGGTTCCCTTGGGTGTCAGTTTATGTGGCCATGTGCTCTTTCAGCATATTTCCTGAGGGGCAGTGCTAGGTGGAGGACTAGTTTGGTTACCCCAGTGATCAGTTCAGGGGGCTCCTCTGAATCCATAGGCATAAACTGGAGGCAGAAGTCTCCAAAGCAGCAAGAGCGTCAGAGGCAGAGTAAGTAGAGGTAAAAGCCTTTCTCAGCCTCACCACATATCCCACTTTCCTTTGGCTGGGTTAGGAGTGAAGGTTCCCATCTTTGCTCCTCTGTAAGCGACAGACTTCAGCGGGGACCCCGGATGGTTTACTGACTGTGAAGTACTTTGACTCCTGCTCTGTGAGGATTGTACCATGGTGTGCCCATGTCCATCCAGCAAGTTCACTTCCTAACTAAGCTCACAGACTGCCCTGGCCAGAAGGTCTGTGCCCCATTTCTTTGCTTTCTCTGTGCCATGATCTCCTTTGGTGTGGGTCTAGGGAGGGGCAGGAACTGATGTCCCTCCCCTTGAGAAGGTCTCCTGTCCTAGTGGCCCATCGTGACATTTGTGGGGCTATTTCTAGACAACAGTAAGAAACCAAGAATCTTCAAAAAGCAAAAAAAGCAGCTACTATAGACCATTGAGTGAGTATTGGAATTCTTCATGTTGTAAATGCCTTTTTCATTTGGACCAGAGTATCTCCATTCAGAAAAGCTGGGTTTAGAAATTCCCTAAATAGTAATTAGACTTTTGGAAAATGAAACCTGAGAAAACTTTCAGCCACTCAGTTGAAACCATCTTTAGTTGTAACATCACAGAAAGGATCCTGGACTTGTAGGCAGATCTGGGTTAAAATCCCAGCTCTGCTACTTACAAGTTCTGTGTCCCTGGACAAATCATTTAACCTTTCCAAGCATTGCTTTCCAATATTTACCTTATAAAGGTGATGGGAAAGGCCTTTGGGAATTATAATACAAATAACTATTAAGGTAGGGAAGTTGAATACTTTTGGAAATGTGTTAAAAGATGACTTTAGGGTTTCACTTGGACTTGACTTTGTAGTTCTTAGGGAGCTCTTTTGGAAGCTGTACTGAAGTTGGTGTTCACATGGTTTCTGAACTAACAGCTTCACTGCCCATCAGCCTGGATCCTCTGTGCAGAGAGCCTCTGATTGCTTCCTGAAACTTCAGGGTGCTCTCCTTGTCAGTGAGTGATTTTCTGGAGCTCGGATCTTGGCCAATGAGGTTGCTCAGACCTAAATGGTGCAGCCAAGGCAAGGCTCCGGAAATTTGCCTTAAAGTAAGAAAGGTCCCTAGGGAGCTAGCCTCTGTCCCAGGAGTGGGAGGTCCACCTAGGACAGGCCAGGGGAAGAATGAGGCTGGGGGAGGGGCTGGGGAGAGCCAGTATGCGTGAGAGCCAGTGCTGGGGCTTGGGGGCCCTGTGTTTGCTCTGTGGCTGGCTCTGTTTATATCGCTCGCTATATTTAGCTTCTGAGTCATCAGCGTGGCAGACTAGAGGCCGAGTTCCCCACACACTCTGCACCTGACTACTCTCTCTTCCAGAAGAAGAGACTTGCAGTTCCAGACAGTTCATTCCCTCCCAACCAAGGCAGGCCATGGGGTTAGGAGTTGGCTTTTGTTTTCTTTTTCAGAGGGTAGGTGATGGGAGGAGGGCGTTGAGGGAAGCACAAAGAAAGAAGAATAAAAAAAAAAATCTGGTTTACCTTTTGATACGTGTCCAGCAGCCAAGAGGGCATACATACTCCATGTGTAGGACATGAACCGTCCGTGTGTAGAGGGGAGGGTTTCATCCTACTTTTCCCAGTTTGCCTCATCCTGTCCAGGAAACTGGTCCAGGATGGAACAAGAACACCCAGCTGCAAAGGCCCCAAGTTGAGAGTCAGAGGCGTTGGCT